TTTGTTTAATTTCTTTTTTTTTATGGCACAAGCATTTCTTCCCATATATATGTTTTTTCTGCAATGCAATTAGAATTTCAAATTTGTTATTTATTTATAAGCTGGAATAATTATTTTTACTTACATTGATTTAACTTTAAAAATCGTAACCACCTCCAAGCGGCCTCGATCCTGGGATTTCAGAACCAGAACTAGTAGTCTTCACGCCGACATTTGTAAGAAAAGCAATTAATTGAGTTTTATTTGTGGCTTTGGCAATTTAAAGGCAAATGTCGCTGAACGCTTAAGCTTTTCGAAATTGTCGATCTGGTAGGCACATACTAGTTAATGAACTAGTATTTTTTCTAGCTGGCTTGAGTTTCCACTGCAGGGAGCTGCTGTAGCCGAATGAATGCGTGTTCGACTGCCGTGTTGTTGATCACGGGTTCAAAACCCGTGGCACGGATTTTTTTTTTTATATAATAATAATAATAGATTGGCGCTTACACATATGTTAGTGTTTGGCCGGGCTTCCTCCGATTTGTGGCGTGCGCCTTGATGTTGCCACACAAAGCGGAGGGACCTACAGTTTTACGCCGACTCCGAACGGCGATTGTAGTTATTTATATGAGAAGCTGTTTTTCATGGCAGAAATACACTCGGAGGTTTGCCATTGCCTGCCGAGGGACGACCGCTTTTAAGAAAAAAAAATTTTCTATATTTTTTGCGATGTTGTTTTGACTAGGGCTTGAACCCAGGCGTTGCGGAGAGGAAGCGCGCACTGCTTACCACTACACCACAGCGGCCGACTTTTTTATATATATTTATTTTAATTATATTTTCTATAATTCTAGTTTCGTAAAGCGATTGCGGCACATTACTTTCGTATGACAACGTTGTAGAAAAATTCTTGCATCTTTTCGTGCGTAGGTTATAGGGCCTATCCATTACTTTTTGCATTCCCAAACATTACCTTTTCCTACTGGGTATGTGCGGATGCATACGAACCTATGTATGTATGTATGTGCCTACATGCATACGTATACAAATGTATGAACATTGTATATATGTAGAATGTAGTTACATACGTAAGTAAGTGACGCGAATCAAGATCGGTTATTAATGCATACATTTGTACATAAAATAAAACCAAAACAAATTTCTTTATTAGTTATAAATTAACCAGGGTGTTGTATGTAGTGTTTTCACGGTACGGTCGTTTCGAAATAAGGTTTCACTATATAAAAACATTTTGATATTCAGAAGCATTGATTGAAGTGATAGTCACCATGCCGATCCTACGATATTATTCAAAACACACATGGAGCGAATCCCATAAGTTAAGAATATTAAAACAAATGCATCAAGTAAGAAAAAAATACATAAGTATGTGGTTAATAAATAATAGGTGGGAACATGTGGTTGCATACTTCTTTTTTATACTTACAGTGCTTAGTATGTATGCATGTAGGCTACATATGTAAGTATGTACCAGGGTTGTTGCGAATATTCGCATTCGCAACCGCGGAGCTTCCGCATTAATTTTAATATTCGCATTCGCAATAATCAATGCGGAGCTTTTGCGAATGCGAATCTTGTGCAAGTGCACCGATAAAACGTATATATGGCAAACAAAATGACAAATTGTAGCCAGTATTTTTGCCTGCGGTCGTGAAGATATTTGTGTAACAAAAGTGGTGTTACATATATTGGTTTCAATAATTTCAAATGAGGCTCTTTGGGGAATTTATTTTTAGCAAAAATTTAAAAAACGGTAATTTTGTTTACTTGTCGAGCAATATTTTTTTCATAAGGATACACATTGGATCCTTGGCTAAAAACTTCTGTGGTAAAATTGCCGCTTCTTTGCGATTTAAAGTCAAAGAGTAAGCTCCTTCAATAGGGATTTCCAGCAGAAATGATCAATGTCTGCTATAAAGAGAATCGATGCTCAAATAATTAAAAAGCTATAGGTCTAACCTTTAATTAGATAAGAATTACGTAACTATCTGATATTCAAATGCTTATAAAAAACGGGGTGCAATATTCTGATCCGATTCGGCTGGCAGCCCCGACTTTGAAAACAGAATTTTGTTAAAAATTTTCATTCCTGAAAATAATAATTTATTTTCCATATCCACCTATTTACCTCGCTATAAGCACACATTTTTCAAACCAGTCGCAGAGAAAGTATTAAAAATGAATTACAAAAACTAAAATCGAAAAACGGTAATGATGTTACAGATTCCCCAAATTTTGAAATAGCCAAAGGAATGAGAAGGAAGAATTTTTTTAAAAGCTTTAGAGAAACCTGACACATCTGGTTTGGCTTGTAAGTACTGTTTAAACAACGATCTCGTTATTAAGCTAGATTCTAATTGTTTCTTAAAATTACCAGACATCCGCATCCGCGGATGTTAGCTGTTAGATATTCGCATCCGCGAATGTCTGAAATTCCACATTCGCAACATCCCTAGTGTGTACATACATACACCTATTTTATATCAATACCAGTGTTGATAATTGCATTTTCCAATTTCGTATGAAAATGTAATTAATATTGTACTTTTTATAACTAAATTGTACCAAATTTTGATTCCTATTATGTTTCTAATATTTAGTTATTGTGTACAACTTGTATTTAATTATTGTTCCTAATACAGTACAAATAATTGCTAAAAATTTAGAAACAAGGCTGTTGCTGTCTTCTATTCCAGCAATTTCACACTTCTGAAACAATTAGTGAAACAATAAGAACAAACGTATACGAACTTCGTCATTAACATAAGTTTTTTTTTCATAGTACGACAAAAGTTTACACAATTGTTTTACGTTTTTTCTATAATTTAGAATTTCTTCCTCTTTAGTTTTTCTTTGTTATAAAATTTATGTGATTTTAAATCTATCATCTAAGAAAGAACAGTGCGGCATAACTTAACGAATCAAGTGCTGCCAAATTTTAGCAGATGAAATATCTTAAAAAGTACTGGGCAGTAGGAAAGTAGAAAGCACTTGAAATTGTATCAAAAAAGTACAGTTGTATCGAAATTATCAACACTGATCTATGCCTCGGGCAATGCTGTCAAGACAATAAAGAAATTCGTATTAGTTAACAAAAAAAAGGCTGATAATTGTCTCTGTGGCGTCGGCATCCTGACAATAGTTATGACCAGGGAACGAATTTTTAGGACCTAAAAACCAGGGTGCGGAGAACGATCAAAAGACGATCTTTCTCACAACCAATCGCGGCCAAAAATTTAGTGTTTGCACTTTTTCCCGATTGAAAAAGTTGCGCTGCGAACAAAAGCATTAACGATCTCTTACGAGAAATATCAATGTTAAATGTTCAATCAAATGTTAAAATTACGAGAGGGAAGATTTCGCTGCAAGCGTCGTTCGTTCGATATTTCGCGATCGTTCGTTGGTTGCGAGCGTTTTTTGTGAAACTCTAATCAGTTACTCGTATTCACAATAGGCATGTTTTATTCAACCATCACAAGCAAATAGCTAAATCTTGGTCAAATAAAACGAAATTAGCTTATTTCCTATGTTAGCCTAATTTTGATAGTTGTTTGACTGCCAATAGTGTCAAAGTAAGTTTTTGCCCCTTTCTGATTGGTTGAAGGAGAAAATTTCTGATGCTGAATGGCAATGCCTCTTGTTCAATATACAAGCCAATATAGCTTTTCATAAGACAATATAATTATGTTGGGTAAGTCCTCCATACAAAATAAGCTAATAGCTTAAATTTCTGGACAAATAAAACACGGCTAATTTAACCAGTAAACAACCTTGGGTGAACTTGTCGACTGCCTTCCTCGGGGATGAATATGCCAGGGATGAAATTATTGTTACCCACGCCTTCTAAACACGCAGGGTTGCTTTTGGGAAACAAAAAATAATTAGCTCAAAGTGGTTTCAAAAAGTATAGTCTAAAACGAAATTTATTAAATAATTATACATAAAATTATATACGTAAATGACTTACTATGTAAACTATTGGAATAAAACCTGTTTCATTGCCTTTTTTGTGCAAAATGAAAACGGTTATCTGAACGCTCGAAGCGCTGCCACTAAGGGCCAATTTTTCATTGCACGGCACGGTATATTTAAAAGAAAAAGCAGGCAACAATTTGGAATAAAAAATCCCGCGATGTTTTATTCTAAATTTTCATTAGCTCTATAGTAAACTATCGTTTTATATAAAAACTTAAAAAAACGCCGCAGGAATATATTAAAGTATGGTTTAATATAAAAAAAAAGAAAAAGCGCCGCAGGAGAAAATTTGGAATAAAAAATCGGAACAACGTCGTCTTCGTATAACTTACGTAAACTTTGAAACTTTTTTAAAGTATGCGGGAATATCTACAATCCCCTGAAACTTCAAAATGTAGACGAAAATGATGATGATGACAATTAATAATGACAATTAAATTGTTCAGAACTTTTGTTGTTTGATATTGAAAATGAGAATGTGTATATGAGTTTGAGTTTTGAATTTTAAAAGTACATTAGTAGGATTTATGAAACGTCGCAAAGTTGTTGCAAAATTTGTCACCTTGGGACACATCTGATTACTTTTGTATGGAAACTCTCCTGCGACAAAATTGCGACATTGCTACAATATTTGTGCTGGCAATCATTGCAAGTCGCTAAACACATGGGCGCGTATTCATAGTTCAGTTACTAAGTCGAAAATAATAAAGTTGCAACTTAAATTTAAGTACCAACTTAATATTCACTTCTATTCATAGTCGCATTTCAAACTTCTAGTAAGTAGTTTTAACTTAGTTTTACGATATAGCAAAAGAGTTTGAAAATGTATCGATTTTTCTTTACGATATTATGGAAAAATTACATTTTTGTTTTTCTGATTTTACTGGTATAAAAATTTTTTGATGCAAACATATATTCGTGGCTATGGAGGGGGAATTTTCGAAAATTTAAAATTGCTATATTTCGCAAAATTGTTATGCTCTATTTAACTATAATATCTACAATCCCCTGAAACTTCAAAATGTAGACGAAAATGATGATGATGACAATTAATAATGACAATTAAATTGTTCAGAACTTTTGTTGTTTGATATTGAAAATGAGAATGTGTATATGAGTTTGAGTTTTGAATTTTAAAAGTACATTAGTAGGATTTATGAAACGTCGCAAAGTTGTTGCAAAGCTTACCACCTTGGAACACAGCTGATTACTTTTGTATGGAAACTCTCCTGCGACAAAATTGAGACATTGCTACAATATTTGTGCTGGCAATCATTGCAAGTCGCTAAACACATGGGCGCGTATTCATAGTTCAGTTATTAAGACGAAAATAATAAAGTTGCAACTTAAATTTAAGTACCAACTTAATATTCACTTCTATTCATAGTCGTATTTCAAACTTCTAGTAAGTAGTTTTAACTTAGTTTTACGATATAGCAAAAGAGTTTGAAAATGTATCGATTTTTCTTTACGATATTTTGGAAAAATTACATTTTTGTTAAATAATGTCAAGTTTGATCATCCGTTTAAGTAATTTTTGCTTGCATTGCATGTTTATGCAAACGAATAAGGCATAATTTTCTTGTTGCTTGTGTGATATAGCCAGAACAACTGCAGTGATGTGAAGTCGATGTTTATCGAAAGCATGTTGTGAAACATACAAACACATATCTAAATGTTATGCACTAATTTACTTTAAAAGGAACAATTGCAGAATACGGCCCGTTAAGGTAGAACAAACCGAAAAAGTGGGCGTGGTCTGCCCTTTTTTTCTGATTTTACTGGTATAAAAATTTTTTGATGCAAACCAACGGTTAACCGAAATCAATTTCCGACTTCGGATTCTTAACACCGGCAGTAATACGCATCGTTTGATACGCCTTTCGACTATTTTGGGTCAATTTTCGGTGGGCACGCTAAAGTGCACCACTACCGAAAAAAGAACTCGTATCGAAACCTGGTACCAAGTTAAATTTTGCTCATCAACGCTACATTTTTTTGGAGGTCGCGCTAGTCGGTTTTTTTATAAAAACGCTGATGTTTTAAATTTTTTTATTTTCGTGCAGCTAAAAGTGTTGTTTTTACAAGTAATTACTCAGGTATTATTGGGGAAATGCCGCGCGTAAGTGAAAAAGAAAAGTTTTTACAATTGTATTTCGAAACAGCCTTAACTGATGTAATTTTTCTTGAAGTATTCGAAACAATAAAATATCATAGCGCATATTCATAGTCATATTTAGTTCACAACTAAGTCGAAACTATCCTAAGTTACAACTAAAGCTATTCATAGTCGCCTTAGTTTCGACTTTTCTGGCTAAGTACCAACTTAAAATTTAGTTTCGACTGCAGCTGCAATTAAGTCGTAACTAGG